TGTCCCACTAGAAATTTCCACGATCTCCTCGTTGACTTCGAATTCTTCTCCGACTTCGACTTCGAATTCTTCTTCGACTTCCTCCTTGAACTCTTCTTCGACCTCTTCTTCTGGGTCTTCCTTCGGGTCTTCTTCTATCCAGCCGCCGTTACCTTGGTTTAGGTAGTAGGGGTCTCCCGGTGAAGGAAATCCGGCTCATTTGTCTGTACTGGGATAGAGGTATGAGATTTTTATAAGAAAAGAAATTTCTATTTAACGACATCCTACGTTTAACTATATCTTACGGAGTGCAAGTTTTTCATTGTACTATTATTTATAACAATAGTCCTTTAGTATTTCAAATTAGCGAATCTAAAATAATTTTATAAGTTTTTGACTTGTTGACTACTACGACCATTCCTCGATGTACATTGGTCAAATCCAGGATAAATATAGTTGATCAGGCTATATTTATTCTTGATTTGATTACATACCCCAAGGCCCAATCGTGGTATCGAAACTTGCCTTAATACTTTTTAGAAAACTTGTCATGATACGAGACTGATACATGCGGGTAAAAATGTATATATTTAAAAGAAAATATTTTTAATGAAAATGTTTTGTCAGAGGATTTTTGGTTCCCGTTGTATTTATAGTTTGTATATCTTATGTGGTTCGATATACTTAGTTCACTATAAACAATGCTCTGATACCAATCTGTCACACCCCCAAACCAGAATGGCGGAAACATTCGGGGGTGGATAACTTCACGTAGTACCATAACAATTGAATATCGTAAAGAAAGTACACAACCATCATATATATATAATAAAAATGTACATTGTTGCGTTATACATATTTCCAAAAGAATATTACAATATGATGATATAAATGTTTAACGATAAACGTTCTTAGCATTCCTTCTTCCAAAAGTTGATGGTTACCTGTATTACTGGTTCCCTGAGAAATACAAGTGGTTTTGAAAAAAGTATCAACAATTAAGTTGGTGAATTCATGAGTGTTTTGAGTTGAAAAGTATATCCTTTTTTGCAGTAAATCGGTAAATGAGGTTTTCAGAAAATCCAATATTTTCTATAAATGATTCGAAGAGTTTCCAGAGTTGGAATGCGTTAGTATTTTTCGTACTTGAATGATAAAGATAACTTTGTATGAAAAATAATGTAGAAAACTGTAATGCATATATGAATCTCGTAAATCAAACTTGTTTTTATACTTTTTATGTGAGTTTTATAACCATACTATTGACACTGAATGCCTGTAACAACATTCTTCAGGTGTTGTAGTGTTATGACATTTGTCACCCCAGACCTGCCGGTCTAACTATAGCTAATAGTTTAGGTGCGGGATTGTCAATCCCGTATAGATCTATACACAAGTATCACGCTCTCCCTCCAAGAGATTATGGTATATAATACAGGACTTGAAATGCATACATAAGTGTACGTTGAAGTTTGAATACCTCACATTGCTTAGTATAAATAGATTTACAATAAGAATGACTTTACTTCTTTTGAAAGTGTTTCATTTTTCAAGATATATATGTAAAATGTACAATTGACTCATTAACTATACCCATTATAGTTTTTCAGAAAGTATGTTCCATTTGGTGAAAATAACTTGGTGATATAATAGCCCTTTATACATAAAGATGTTTGTATCGATATTCAAAGATAGACATTACATTTATGTTTATAAAATGATACTTTAGCGTGTAATGTACTTGTATTCCCCCCTAAAACATGAAAAGAATTGAATGGTAGGGGTATGAACTCACTCGTTTGGTTCAAAGAGAGAGAGGCTAAAGTTGAGCAGAACTTTGATCGCGGAAAGCTGCGTCTTCGGGCTCTTCGGGGATCTCGGTAGCGTAGATCTTTCGTCGGGGGCTCGGGTACGGAAACCGAGGTGTCGGGATGGTCTCTGGAGCTCTAGGGTGTGTAAAAGTGAGATAGGATCTGAGAATTGTGTGCAAAAACTCGAATCTCAACCTTTCTATTTATAGGCTGGAGGATCCTCGTACGCGGGGCGTACTACTGGAGTACACTGGGTGTACCCAGTACACGGGGCGTACTTTGGTTACGCGGGGCGTAAAAATGCATCACGGCTTACAACTCTGGTCTAGCTAGCGTAGAGCACTCGAGTCGATGGGACTTGACACTGGGTCTAGTACGCGGGGCGTACTCTTGGATTACGCGGGGCGTAATCCAGTCTTCCATTTTCTAAATTCCGTAACTTTCTCGTACAGGCTCCGTTTTTCGCGTTCTTTATATCCACGCGTAGGTGAGATTATGCTCTACAACTTTCATTTAGACTCCGTCGGCTAGTTTTGACTTTATTTTTAATGATATATTGTTAATAGGCCGGGACTACTAAAGTCCGTTAAAAATTCATAGTTTCTTTATTCGACGTCGGTTTTTGTTTGTCTTTTTATCATTTTATTACTATTGTGAAGATCTTCAACTTCCGTTTAGGTGGCGATAGCTAAATAACACTCAATCTTCAATTCGAGTTTTTAGCCCTCTACTACTGTTACAAGACTTAGGAAATTCGTAACTTCTTCATACGAGGTCCAATTCGAGCGATCTTTTTATGTATGTTTACAGTCTAACGAACTCTACATCTTTTGTTTAGACACTTAAGGCTAAAATGCATTTTATTGAAATTTCACTTTTTACGTTAAATAGCGTTTTAACGGTGTGTCGTAAATATACGAGTGGTTATAATTTCTTCAATATAACCTGGTTTTGAACGCTCTTTATGTTTTTGGAAACCTTGGCACGATATCTAACATTTGATGTATCCCAACTCAGATATTTGAACACTTTATTTTTGAGGTTAATTTAATTGACTCCAAATAATTTTTGTTGTATTTGACTTTTGAGCGTTACACTGCTTTTGGAAAAATATCGGGTTGTCACATCATCCTCCCGTTAGGGGAATTTCGTCCCGGAATTTAATCTAAGATAGAGTTTACAGGTTTAGGAAAAAGGTGCGGATACTTTTGTTTTATCTGATCCTCGCGTTCCCAGGTGTATTCAGGTCCTCGCTTGGCGTTCCAGCGGACCTTTACAATAGGTATGCGACTTTGTTTAGTCCTTTTTATTTCCCGGTCCATGATCTCTACTGGTTCTTCCACGAATTGGAGATTATCATTTATTGCAATTTCGTCTAGCGGGATGACACGGGTCTCATCGGACAAGCACTTCTTTAGGTTTGATACGTGAAAGGTAGGGTGTACGTTGTGGAGCTCCTGAGGTAATCGAAGTTTGTACGCCACTGGACCGATCCTGGCAAGGATCTCGAATGGTCCGATGTATCTTGGGTTTAGTTTCCCACGCTTTCTGAAGCGTATTAACCCCTTCCAGGGCGAGACTTTTAGTAGGACTCGATCTCCAACCTGGAATTCCAAGGGTTTTCGTCTTTTATCCGCGTAACTCTTTTGTCTGTCCCTTGACGCCTTCAGGCGTTCCCGGATCTGAACAATCTTCTCCGTAGTTTCCCTTATGATTTCTGGTCCAGTGAGCGTGTGGTTTGTTGCTTGTCCTCTTGCTAGTTGTGTTGTCCCCCACTTTGGCCCAGCATACAGGTGATTTGCATTTACGGCACATCAAAACCCCGATGTCTTTGCTTATTATTAAATTTTACAATAGAAAATTAAAAGAAGTTGGTATATACCATTACCAATTTGTACCAACCAAACTTATTGGTAGTCAAATAAATTGATACCAAGTATACTTGGTATGGTACCGGTAGCCATTTTTTTATATCAATTATAGTTGGTACGGTGAAAAAGGAATTGGTACCGTACCAATTCCACCCCTACCTAGATGTGTATAAAAAAAATAGTTACATAAATATGAACAAAACGAAAAGTAAAAATTAAATTACACGAATGGTCCCTGTGGTTTGGGGGAATTTGTGTTTTTGGTCCCTAACTTATTTTTTTAACTTGGATGGTCCCTACTATTTATTTTTGTTGCGCGTTTAGTCACTGTCTTACCTAAAAATACTATTGTGCCTAAAAATACTAATTTGTGTTTTTGGTCCCTAACTTATTTTTTTAACGTCGATGTTACTAAAGATGGAAAAGAAAAGAAAATGGGAAGGATGAGTGATGAGATAGTTACCGATAAGGCCCAAATTAAATTTCTCAAATGTGGTTTCAGGTTTACGGTGAGGAGATACATATATGTGGGGTATATTAAGTTTTTTAAATATATAGAAAAATATATACATAAATAAGAAAATTAATTAAAAAAAATTAATATAGGAAAATAGTTTTTTTTAGATAAAACAGAGACCAAATGCGTAACAAAAGTAAACAGTAGGGACCATCCGAAATAAACAGTAGGGATCATCCGAAGAGATACAAATATGTGTGGTCTATTAATTTTTTTTAATATGTAAAAAATAAATACATAAATAAGAAAATTAGTTAAAAAATAAATTAATAAGGGTATAATAGTCTTTTTAGGTAAGATATGGACTAAACGCACAACAAAAATAAACAGTAGAAGTTTAAAAAAATAAGTTAGAGACTAAAAACACAAATTCCCCCAAACCATAGGGACCATTCGTGTAATTTAATTTTTACTTTTCGTTTTTTTCATATTTGAGTAACTATTTTTTTACACATTTAAATAACGAACTTATTGAAAACGTTCACATCTAGGATTTAACCTTCTATAGAAGGTCATAATGGTCATATGTGAACACTTACAACAAGTTTGTTACCTAGATATGTACAAAAAAAGATAGTTACCCACATATGAACGTACCGAAACATTAATTATATTAATAAGTCATATTCCCTTAATCGTAACAAGAAAATAGGAAAAAGGAAAAGAAGTAAGTTAATTCTAGACAAAATTGCAAAAATGGTCCCTGTGGTATGCAAAATTTTGGGGTTTTAGTCCAAACCACGAGTTTTTTGGATCCATGGTCCTTTTGGAGTGGTTCCTATGTGGTTTTGGTCCTTGGACTTAACTCCCTTTAAGTTGGATCTGTTAAGCTTCCTCACGTGCCTCACACGTGAGGGTAATGTCGTCATTTCATATATTAGGGATCATTTTTCCATAAACGTTTTTTGGATTAATTGATATTTACCCCTCATTTACTTTCCCCAACATTCGTCAACTCCCCAACTCCCTCCTTCTTGCTTCTGCTGCATTGAACCTGCAAAAAACCCTCGTTGCTTATCCAAACAAGATAATCAACACTACACATACAAGGGCATATGTTTAATACAAAATGGTGTTCGTAATGTGGCACATCAGACCAAAACACGAAGTTGTTGATGTATCAATTGTATATGGTAAGTTGCTCTGTTTCTTTAACTTTTATACTTTGCATTTTCTTATTGATTTAGAACAAAAAAATGCAAAAATTTGACTTTGTTAATATGTACAATTTTGATTTTTAGCTAGTGCACCCACATGGTTTAGTATTAAGCTTCATCACGGTGAGAAATTTACTAAGTTACCTGATATAAAGTACATAGGAGGTGAAGTGCGTTATGTTGATTATGTGGACATTGATGAGTTTTCTGTGCATGAACTTGATGCCATAATTCTTGAGCTAGGTTACCCAGACCCACGGATGATTGAATTGACCGATGAATCCCCAGTGATATACTACCATTTCAGGATACCCAATGGTGACTTTCAATTTGGTCTTAGAGCTTTAGGGAATGATCAGGATGTGATCAACCTTTCTAAATACATTGCACATAACAAGCTGATTGAGGTGTACATAGAGCATGGAAAGATAAATTTAATGACTTACTTCATGTCACCAAATGCAAAGGGTAAAGTTGTCATTGAGGAATTACCAGAAAATGATGATCAAGGGGCTGAAGTTGAGGGTCAAGTTCATGCAGATTCTCCAATGAAAAATGTGAACCATAGTAATGGTGAGCCTATTGGTGAGTTCATGTCTCTGATTCTTTTTGGGAGTAAGAATGATAGTTTCTCACCAGAGTATAGAAGGGGTAGGTTTGGGAATTCCAATATAGGTGAAAGTTCTTGTAGCAAGAGGCTTAATTTAGATTATATTGATGAGGGTGTTCACATTTCAAAGGAAAAGAATGATGATCAGGATGGTTCAACTGATGTTCAGGAGGCAACAACTTGTGTTCTTATTGATGATATGGATGGTGTTAGGGAGGCTGCAACTACTGTTCAACATGCATCAACTATTGATGAAGGATGCTACAACACCCCCCATGTTAATAATGCTGATGAACAATTGAATGAGTTATTTGATAACCATGTGGAAAATTTGATTGGGAGTGATGATGATGATAATGTAGAGTATGAAGGTGATGGAGAATCTGAAGAGGGTAATCAAGAGTATGAAGAGGATGATGAATCTCAAGAAAGTGATCCAAATTTTGAAGAGTATGATGAATCTGAAAATAGTGATCCAGGGTATGAAGAAGATGAGAGAAAAATAGAAGATGAAGATCATATGGATGACATAATGGATGTTGACAACAATATACAAGATGTGGATGTGGACATGGGAGACTTCACTCTCAATGTTGAAAGTGATATGGAAGGTTCTTTTATAAATGTTGTTCATGGGCATGAACCTGAAGATATGGAAGTAATCAACAATGAGAAATTTGAATCTTTGGATGAAGGATCTAACTAAGATAGAGAGAGAGAAGAGCTCTTATTAAGAATCTGAGAAAAGAAAAAAGGTGCAGTCTTGGGGCAGTACGTAAACAATCATTTTCAGTTGGAGATAAATTTAATAGTAAAAAAGAATTAAAGGAGGCAATTGATCTGCATGCACTAGAATCAAGAAGGAATCTTTTCTTTAAAAAAAATGACAATGTAAGGCTTAGGGCACAGTGTAGGGGAGTTGTACCTGTCACCAATAAAGGCCAAGTGGGTAGTCAAGATACCACTTCAAAAAGAAAGGGTAAAGAATTAAAGACACAAAAAGTAACATGTGGTTGGTACATCCATGCATCTAGGTCAAATCTTGAATCCGACTGGTTTATAAGGACCTTAAACCAAACTCACACATGTTTGCAAACAAGGAAACTCAGGGCTTGTACTGCTTCTTTAAACAGCAAGAAAATCTTTGATCAAGTTGAGGCGAATCCATATATACATTTGAGAGCCATACAAGATCACTTTCAAAAGACCTACCAAGTGGGTGTTACTATGGACAAGGTGTTCATGGCAAAGGATAAGGCAAGAAAGCATATAACTGGGGACTACAAAAAGCAGTATGAACTGTTGAGGGACTATGTTCTCAAACTTCAAGCCACCAACCCAGACACCACAGTGAAAATAGATGTATGTTCTGAGCCTAACCCTGATTCCCCAACCAGGCAGTTTAGAAGAATTTATGTGTGTTTGGGTGAAAAAAAGGGTTCAAGGCATGCCTTAGGGACTTATTAGGTTTTGATGGTGCCTTCATGAAAGGACAATTCTGTGGGCATGTCCTTTCAGCAGTTGGTCTTGATTCCAATAATTGAATTTACCCATTAGCATATGGGATTGTTGAGTTTGAAAACATAGAGAGTTGGAAATGGTTTTTGGATAACCTTGGGGATGACTTGGATCTTGGAAGAAACTCAAATTTTACTTTCATAAGTGACAGGAAAAAGGTAAAGCTGGAAGTGGTTTTTATACATTTGGTCATTTAAAGTGTGGTTTTAAATTAATTCTAATGATTGACAATTGATTTTTGCAGGGTTTACATACTGCAGTTGAGCAATTGTTTCCCAATGCTGAGCATAGATATTGTATCATACATATTCATGACAATATGAGGAAAAGATGGAGGCAAACAGAGTACAGGGACCACTTATGGAGGTGTGCATCAGCTACCACCATTCCTGAGTTTGAACATTTGATGAAGGAGTTTAGTGAGTATGATAAGGAGGCATGTGAATGGTTGAAACAAATTCCTCCTAAACATTGGGCAAGGAGTCATTTTTCAGGTAAATCTATACATTCCAATTTGGTCCTTATGTCTTTCAATTAGTGAACTGTTTTACTTGTATGTGAATTGTATTAAATGTTTTTTTTAATGGTAATGTACACACAGGAAGAGCATTTTCTAATGTGTTGATATCAAACATGTGTGAAGTGTTTAATGGGAAGATAGAGAAAGGAAGGGATAAACCTGTCATTGGATGTTTAGAATACATAAGGGAGTATCTAATGAAGAGGATATGCAATGTCATGAAGGAAATGAAAATGGCTAAAGGTCCACTAACACCCACAGCAACAAACATCCTAGGTGCAAGAAAAACAGTTGCTTCACAATACATTGCTAGGTGGAATGGGGGAGACAAGTATCAAGTCACAGGAGCTTTGCAGGATCAACATGTGTTGATGTTAGGATCAAAACATGCACTTGTAGAAAATGGGAATTAATTGGAATTCCATGCAGACATGCAATTGCAACTCTGAATGAGATGAGTAAAGACCTAGAGGCTGAGGTTGACATTTACAAATGGGTTCACAAGGTGTATTTTCTAGAGACATGGAAAAGGCTTATTCTTTTAAGGTGGAGCCAATTAATGGTAGATCTATGTGGCCTAAAAGTGAATGTCCCACAAAGCTAATCCCTCCTCCACATTGCACTCAGGTGGGAAGGCCTAAGAAAAAGAGAAGACAAAGTGAGGGTGAAAGGTTAAGCAAAAAGCAGAAGGCAAGTCAAGGTGATTGAGTGAATGCTACACAAGAAGGAGGTTCCCAAAAACCAACAAATGATGGAGTGCAAGAGCTATCAAGCAAGCATATCAGTGTTACTTGTAGCAAATGCAAGAACAAGGGACACAACTCTAGGACCTGTAAAGGGCAAGGTGGGAATTAGTCTAAGAAGTAATGTGTCATGCATGCATGGGATTTTCTGTGATTTTGGTTGGTTATGAAAACTTGGTTGTTATGTTTACAATATTTTGTTGAAAACTTTTGGTTGGTTGTTATATTAGGTATGGTAATGTGTCCCTTTTGGTAATGTTTAGAATCTTTGGTTGTTATGTTTAGAAACTTTGGTTGTTATATTACAAGTCTTAATGAAATGTGCATTTTGGTTATGTACAATTGGTTCTAATATATACATTTTGATAATACATTCATACCATTTCTATTCATATGTTAATTCTGATACATTCATACCATTTTGGTAAAACATTCATTACACTTGCATTATAAAATTGTACATATATCATTATCATCATAAGTCACTACAAACATGATCACATAAAATTACAACAAAATGACCAAAACACCCTTCACAGTATACCCCTACCCTACACAAACCAAATACAGAAGAATACAATCACAAAGAAAAACCAACTTCCAAACATGTACATTTTCAGCTTCAAATTGTCATCCTTCAATGCTTTGACATTTGCCACCAATATGTTGTTCCTGTATATCAGTCCGTTACATTGATCTTGTAGCATGTTCATACTTCTAACCAACTCATCGCACCGTTCCTGCACTAAATTCAAATTTCTTAGCAAACCAGGTATGATGGTTTTAGCCCTAGCACACATTGGGGGATCAAGGCACCCAATAAACCCACAAACGGAATCATACATAGGGCATGCAAAAAATCTCCTTCCTGGATTCAGAGGGGTCCAAGACGTTTTCACCACATCAACTTTTCCACAAAAACATAGCACCATTTTTGTTGTAGCAGAGCTCAAGAAGAAGAAGGGTAGAAGAAAAGAGACGTTGGGGAACGTTGGGGAAGAAGATCACAGGAAGTGGGGGTATTTAAAAGGAATTAATCCAAAAAACGTTTATGCAAAAATGGTCTCTAATATATGAAATTACCCTCACGTGTGAGGCACGTGAGGGGGCTTAACAGATCCAACTTAACGGGAGTTAAGTCTAGGGACCAAAACCATATAGGAACCATTCCAAAAGGACTATGGATCCAAAAAACTCGTGATTTGAACTAAAACCCCAAAATTTTGCATACCATAGGGACCATTTTTGCAATTTTGTCTTAATTCTATCATCTAAATAATATATTTCAGCTAACCTCTATTAAAATAAAAATAAAATAATTTTATCAGCTAATAAAAGAAATAATTTTATCATTAACCTACATATTAAAATAAATAAATAAATAATCTAGAACAATCATCCAACCTACACCTTGCACCCATGCATTACACATATAATAATATCTACCACAACATTAAATATAAATATAACAGACATCATGCATTTGTTCCTCTTCTTAGCACAAATTGCTCTAAAACCCTGCAAAAGTATTGAACTTTTAACTCCTCATATTACCAAAAAAAAAATTAAAAATTAAAAGCACAACAAATTCGTGTGAGTTTTCATATGATCTTATGCAGCCCTATATTGAGATCTGAGGATATGGAAATGAGGAGAGGAAGCGAGTGATGCCACGAGGCTTTAAACACACGTTTCTGATGAGCTCTAATCGACTGCGAGGGTTTGTTGGCATTAAACCTAATATCAAATATATGGATCATGGGGTCCGCTGAACCCGAGGTTAGGTACAACCCATCTGGGGACCACGTCTGGTTGATCAAAGCCGATTGTGATTCGCTACTTTCTTGTTTCCAACCGAATTCATGTATTTCAGTTCGCCTTAATCTGATGTCAAACAATCTGAGTTGCCTCTCTGGAGTACTGCATATATATACAATAATATAAATATTAATAAGATATTCAACTTAAAATTTTAATGTGTTTTCAGTTTTCACTTTCATTTTCATTTTCACCTGGTTTGAACCATGAAAAGATTGAAGTCACAAGGATTTGGTAAAACACTCATACACTTGCTTTCAATCTGATGCTTGTAATCGGCTCTTCCAGTTTGTAAATCGAATCCGATTATCCTTTTATCAGCACCTACAGAAACCACCATCTGTTTCTGTTGCATCCCTGCAACTCCCATAACAGCTGAAGAATGCATACTTCTGTGCAACACTTTTGGTTTCCAACAATCATCCCCTGTTTTATCACTCCATTGAACCACAGCATGATCACTTCCACCAGTTACAAAACAGGTATCTTCCCATGGCATGAATGATATGTTGTTGATGATGCCCTTCACATGTGGTTTATCTTCAAGGAAAGTTACACGTTTTTTCTCTTTTGGTTTATTCAGGTTGAGGACTGATATCTGCGGGTCCCCTCCATCAGCGGTGTAGACAGCGAATAGGCTGCCGCCATGTGGATGCCATGCTATATCTTCTGGCCACCTTCTGTGTTTCGTGGATGCACAGTCGGCTGTACTAAGAAGATATGCACTTGATCTGTTTTTTTTTTTTTTTTTTTAAAACACACCAAATTAGAAACTTATAAAACAAAGAATATAAATTCAAAATCAGTAACATGAAACAGGTAAAAGATCAAGAACATACCCTCTGGACTGAATTTGCCATAGATTTACAAGTCCATCCAGAGCACTGCAAAATCAATAACAGATCCTTAAAAAAACTCACACACACACATACACACACACACACACACTACGGTACCTGGTCACAAAAAGCTGATCATTTGTAGGACACAATGCAAGACTTCTGAGCTTTCTCTTATGCTGGCATGAGATGTGGTTGGAAGTTTGACAATTGATTGTACGTGGTGAAGATGAACTGGAAACCATCTGAATTAAATCTACATGTTCACGCTGCTCTGTAATTTTGGAGTTATTTAACAAACATTAAAACCTCCAATTTAACAAAAACATGTATGTAATAAACTAATAATATGATAGATGAATCAGTGACGCAAATAGAAAATATTACCAAATTTCCTTTTTGTCCCTCTGGATTGAGTCTCAACAGCTTCCTGTTCATGAGGGGTTCTATTTCTATGTCCTTTTTCTTTGACAATGCTTTTGGCATATGTTGGAACTGATGTAGAAGGTTTAGTGGCAGTTTCTGCCATTTTTATAGGTGCAGATGGTTTTGGATTTACTGCAGGGATAACAAGCTGTGGTCTCTGTTCTTGTTTTGGAATTTTAGGAAGATTTGGTAAAGAATGTTCACTGGTTTTTATTTTTACAGGGCTACATGATCTCCTCTCTTCTTTCACTTTTACACCATTTTGAGAGGAAATATTTGTAGATGCCACAGGATTCCCTCGACTTCTAAGGCGTGCTAATTTGCGTTGTGTTTCCTCTAACCTCTTCTCAGATTCATCAAGCTGTATACCTTCTCCAAAAAGATATTAGCTTTTATTTCCCAATTTAGATAAAGAAATTTATTTTTTGTTAGTTGTCGGACTAAAAGAGTTGCAAGTAACATGAGGAACCATGTTCCATCTTATATTACAAGAAAATGATAATTTGTTATTAGATAAAGATGTGTGTTTTTGTTATTTGATTGAACTACACTACAATTTTCAAGTAAAATGTCATCAAATTCAATATTAAGACCTAAAGCAAAGCCACCAGAATCAACATCTTCTTCCATAGACTATATAATAAACTTTCTTTGAACACACACAAAAGCAACAAGAAACCACCAATGTAAACTAAATTTCAGTAACATGATTCGGTTATCATAAATCAATCTATTGTGACTGAATTTTGTCAAGAAGATGTATTTTCATCATTTATTTGCTCACTGCAGGTATTATCCTTTTCTGTGATTAACCTACATCCACAATTTCCCCTAAAATGTCATCAGTTTTATTTTTCCATTACAAAGCAATACGAACAAAACGTTATTCCATGAACTGTACATCAGAGCGAATTTATAACACTTACCAAGCAACCAAAAGCCTCCAATTAAACAAAAGATTACAATTTGATTAAACACACAAACAACAACAGAATCGAACAGAAAAATCACTTTTTTTTTACGACGAAATGTTAACGGAATGATAATCAAGAGGAGTGAGTAACAAAACCTCGGATTTATAGTAGGCGACACGCGTACGGAGATGATCAACTTCTTTGGCGCGGTGTTCAATCAAAGCTATTAAAGCCTCTTCTTGCTCCTCCCTGTCAGTCTTCTCATCGCCGGTGTGGTTCGACGCCATAACTTCCGAACTGGTGGCCGGCGGCGATGTTGGTCCCTGCTTTTATTGGTATTTATATCTCTGTTTATGGGGCCTCATGCGTATGAAGATCGAGATCCATTGGGGGCTCTTCCTCTAGTTAGTGGGTAGTGAAAGGGCATTTTTGTACTTCAACGATTTGTGTATCTTTATTGTGAAATAACTACTAGAATTTTTATTTGGGTAAATTACAAAATTGATTTGTATTTTCAAAGTTACCCACTGATGACTTTTATATAAAATAGGAATACTTGCATATGGAAATCAATTATAGCATTTTTGTCATTTTAGATAACAAAACTATTTTATGTTTATAGGTATTGATGCCGTGGTCTCCTAAAGATTACAAAAGCTGTTAAAGTCGTGATACATAAATGGTTAGAGATATTAAGTTGGAATATTTGTGGAGAAAGGGATTAAGATTGGTGGCCAATTTTTGGAAGAACATAAATTTAAATCATATTAATGAACAACTGAATAATAAAAGAAGAGCTCCCACAAGCTTGTTGCTATGAAAGATGGAGTTTGTTGTAGAGGAGGTTGTTGAGAAAGTAGGGGAAACAAACTAGGAAAGTTACACCCCGCTCCCGAGTTGTAGCAAAGAAAAGAAGAGAAGAGAAAAGAAAGTAAGGAGAGAACAGAAGAGAAAAGAAAGGAAAAAGAAATTGTCATTTGTGCTCCCGAGTTGGAGAGAAATGGAAGGAAAGTTAAACATTTTGTTCTTTCTTTTCAAATCCTCCCAAATCGGGAGGAAAGTTAGGAGGGAAAGTTTTCCTTCCATTTCCTTCCACTTCCTTCCTTTAATCAAACTCGGGAGCACCATTCTCTCTTACTTTCCCTTCATTTCCTCTCATTTCCTTTTTTTAGTAAAACATGTCACATCAAGAGCATGGATCACGGGCAAATATTTTTACCTGTTATTCGAAATGGCCGAGGTTCTTTTGATTACATCAGTTCGGGCTTGGACTGGGTGTGGCCCAAAAACCCGGGCTACAGAAATCGGTTTTTTAACAAAACGAAACATATAATGTCATGCTTTAAACCATTTAAAAAGATATTTGTTTTATTTGATTATAAAGTGCAAAAACGTAAAAGTATTTTACAATTAAAAGATGTCTTGGTTTTTGCTTGTCGTCTTTATCAAAATTTTACAGCATCTCGTCTTAAAATAGAGCACTTTAATCGTTCATTTCTTGAAGTGTTTCTTTGACGAGCCTTCTTTTTATGTGGATTGTCGAAATGGTCGAACAACAACCCATCTTGATTCACGAGCCACGTTGTCCTTTGAGTAATATGGGCCTGCAGCCCATTTAACCCTTTATTTGTAGACATGTGTATGTAGTAAGGAGGAGGCATGCACAAAAAAACCGGTTCAAGATCCAAACCGGTCAAAGAACCGGTAAACCGGTTCACAGTGAACCGAACCGGCTTGAGAACCGAACCACCGGTTTAAACCCATTCGAGATTTTAGTCGTTGAAACCGGTTTATATCGGGTGAACCGGTATGGAACCGAACCGAACCGGTTTAGATAGGTTCGACTAATTTTTTGAGTAAACCGGTTTGAGGTTGAACCGGTTTTGCTTGGCTAGGGAGTGAACCGAACCGGTTTAAAGAAACGGTTCGGTTTGAAAAATGAACCGGTTTGTGCATGCCTAGTAAGGAGTGTGGGGTCTCAATGTGTGATTTGTTTAACTTTCGAAGAAGCCATTACATTTTTTACAACATGTTTTTCTACAAACACCAATTGCAATGGTCCCAAAAATCATGTGCTCAATTCCACAGCACCTTTAGTTGGATTTTGATGTGATGATCTATGTCGTTTAGTTTATTTGATAGGAGGGAAATATTTGTTATCAAAATGGCAAAATAATTATAATTGATTGTTGATTATGCAATTGAACTTTATATAAGACCATCTGTTATATTTACCACATATCATATATGTGGTAGGTGCTTTATCAGCATCACATTCTCTACCGATAATAAAGGGATACATACCACTAAACACATCACTCCACTTAATTTTTTTATTTAAATTTAATTAAAAAATACATTAAAATCATTTTTTTAATACTAGTCTTCCACTAAAAAGATCAAATTATATTAAATAAAAACTACATTAATTGAAATAAAAAATAACAATAACAATAAAAAAAATTACATTATTTAAAATAAAATTTTAAAAAAAAAACATTAAAAAAACTAAAAATTCTAGCTATAAATAAATTAAACTACCTCATACGCCTACGTCGGGCTCGAACCGACTCTTTCATCGCGAGGAAAAGTTCCAAGCCTTCGCTCTCGAGGTTGTCCGCTTTCAATTTCAAAATTTCCATTGGTTTTTTGTTTGGATCATCGTTTGTGTCTCTTGAAATGATGTTTGTGTTTCAATCATTTTTTTGCTCCATCCGAGTCATCACCTCGGTCTTCGTTTCTTGAAGTTGCACGTATCGATCAAATTTATCGCCAAACATATCCATAACACTAGAATTCGAAGATGTTGAAGCCGCTTTTTTTTGCTTTATTTCTTCCAACGGGCCGACGAAGAGGTTGGTCGTTTTCAAGATCTAGTGAATCATCGTTGATGTTGATGTGTGTTCGGTAATCCGATTATTGGGAGGTTCCATCGGGGTTTCTCGAACGCTTTGAACCGAAAGATTGCGAAGTTCTTTCCGTTTGCTCTTTCCATTTTGGAGCGTCTTTCAATTTTAGCCACGATTTCATATACAGAAAAGCTTTGAGTGTTGGCGTTGTTTTTTCAAATTGCTCCATAGCCGCCTTGAAAACATCAAAATCGTTCGAGCCACTTTTGCGTATGTTTAGGAGGTTGTTGTAGATTCCTCCAAACTCGGTGCATTTTAGTCGAATATCTCGCCATTTCGACGTAACTTGATCGGCATTTCGAGTCTCACTTTCCATTAACTCGTAGAAAATGGCTCGGACTTTCTCCTAAAAACTTTCGTAAGGATGACTATCTCCTACAATTGGATCTCCGGAAGCCGCCACCCATGCCTCCGCTAACTTTTCTTCTTCTTCTTTTGTCCATGGGACCCTTTCTTGGATGGTAGTGGGTCGGGACGGTTTTTTCATTTTTTTTTCTTTTCGGTTGAGGTGGTGGTGAAGGTTGCGTTTCCATAACAAAAGCTAACGAAAGTGGTGGTTGTGAGCTTGGTGGTTGTGAAATTGGTGGTTGCTGTTATAACGATTGTTGTTGGAGTTGTAGTTGTTGGTATTATTGTGAAATTTATTGTTGTTGGAAAGACGGAAAATGTTGATATTGTTGTTGGAAAAGTGGTGTTTGTTGGATAGGGGAACCGGTTTGACGCAAACTGATAAAACCACCTTGAGTTGACTCCATAGTTGGGAATTTGCGAGAGGTTGTATCTAACGCAGCGTTATCGGGTTTGCGATTTCTATAGTTTGGAGTGATATTTTGGTTGGGATCCATGGTTTTTGGTTGTGAAGATGTAGTGTGTAGTTTGTGTATAGAGAAAGAAAAGAATGGTGTAAAAAATAAAGAGTAAAAGTGTTGTATTTATAGGTAAATAAATTGGTTAAAATTATTTTTTTTAAAACAAACTAGTTGTTGAACGGCTATAGGAAACGGTCAAAAAAGGCTTTGATTTCATTGGTTGTGCGAGTCTGTTTTGTCGAACACGAAGCATCACGAAAACAAGCAACCACGAAACAACGGGGTAGTGTGCACGCCCGTTGTTCATGGCCAGCTCAACCACGAACAGTCTCGTGGCAAGTATACCATACGGCCTAAGAGAGTATGTTACTAATAATCCCATGTAACTTTAAGCTTTAGACATTGATTTTGGAAGTGTCTTGCATACAACAAAAACATAGTCAGATGAGTATTTGTTTTTGTAGGTATAATTTACCTTTTCTATAAAGTTAATCCTGTTAGGGCTAAGGGTGGTACCATTGGTACCGCGAGCTACGCCATCCCAAAACTTGTTATATTTGTTTTTAATTAATTTATAAATTAGTTTTGTATTTTCTAATATTTTGTAAATTAGTTTTGTATGATTTTAATTAGTTTGCATTTATTTATTAAAAAATTTCAAGGCATGAGAGAGAGAGAGAGAGAGAGATATTTAATGTGTTGTGAGATAGAAATGATGAAATTGGAAGGAGAAAGAAATATTGATGGGACAAGTGGGTTGATAGAAGTGGACATGAGAGGCTCCTTCTACCCTTATAATGATATGTTGTTACCCTTATAGTGATATGTTATCCTAATTATTTGAAGGAAAAATATAATATTTTGTAGTTATTTTATATACAATGGGATGATTTTGTATGCTAAAAGAAGCTCTAGACATAATTTTGGACATTGAAGTTGAAGTTGGAAAATACAAAACAGAAGTGCAAACCGGTTGTGCTGACTTTTGCAAAGGAATGTCATGCAGCCATGCCGAGGCAAATTCTGAACACTTTTTATGGACCACACGACCATGTTGATTTTAACCTATCTAGTAGCACGGTCGTGTTGACTTGAAAATTGTTTGTAATCACCTCCTTTAAAGACGGGGTTTAGGTTATTTGATCGGAAAATTCATTTTTTGGCGCATTTTGCAGGAGAATTCTTCTATTTCTATGGGAGAACATATAGCTTTTGATTGTAAGTTTAGTTTTACAATTGTTTTTTAGAATTCTTGAAGATTTAGTCTTGATGTAAGATTCAAACTTTTATCTGAAGTAATTATGTTAGATCTTCATGAATGTTTTGTTTTCTTGTATTCAATTTGGGGTTTTGTTCGGAAACATATAGATTGTTAATGAAATTGATCACTTTGTTAATTTTCTAATAACAATTTTGGGAACAATTAATAATGTTATTTTTGTCTATGAATTCAATTTCATTATAAATGGTATTTAGAAGTAGGTTAGTTTGTCGGTTAAAAAAGTTCATTATAGATCCATACACTATAATTATGAATGGTTTGCTATAATTGGAAATGCATAATTAACATTTGGAAATGCATGAATGGTTTGCTATAATTGACATTTCCATCATTATCATTGCAATGTGCACCCTAAGATTAGAATTGCTAGAATTTAGTGTAACATATTAGGTTTAATTAATTAAGTGCATTTGATTAAATACACAAATGGAAGATTGTTAAAATTAATGGTTTTGAGCACTACATCAATCTTATGGTGTACATGCAAATCCTAAAGCTTTTGGATTTAGTTTGTCTAATGAACATGCAATAATCATTCAAAGCTCATAAACCCTAGATCTAGCATACAATAAACGATTCAACATATGAATTAGGGTTTAGATCTTACCCTACGATGGTTACAAGAGTTCTTTGATCTTCAAGAAGCTTAGTGTCACAAGTGTCACGCCTCTAATGGCTCACAAACACTAAGAGCAAGAGAATGACTTATAAGAAGGAGGAGGAGGCACCAAAAACATCCAAGATCTGCAAGGGAGCTCTTAGCCACGTTTTTGGGAGCCCTAAGGGTCTATTTATACTTGTATGAGTTGCTAGGGTTTCAGAAGAAACCCTAATTCTCTGCTTAGACCTTAAGCAACCCATGGAACCTTTCTAGAAGGCCCTTGGACGAAAATCATATGGGCTTCCCATAGATTTCGTCCAATCCCCTTCCCTTTAGGAATCCATAGCTCACAATGCAATTATCTTATAATTACAATATTAGTCCCTTAAGTTTAATTAATCTCTTTTAGCCACAAAAATAATTTCTTAATTAATTTTTGTCTAATATTAATTAAACTATATGATTTCTCTTTTAATATATTATTCATATAATATATTAATAAACCATAATTAACCTTTTTCTTCATAAATCATCTTATCAAGTTGCTTTTGTGAAAGCAACCCAAAAGAACCATGCACAACCGGGTCAAATACATATTAAATATAGTTATGGACTTAGACACTAATCCAACAAAAATTACTAAACATCACGTCTCAATACAATTCATTTTTTTAAAAGATCATTACATCATAATTATTGATTATGATAACTTAAATCATAACAAAAATTAACCCATATGTTAGAATTTTTTATTGTTTGAATTTGCTTCTAATACATTTCATGGTAGTAGTAGGCCCTCAATGTTTTTACTTCATTTAAATGGCAATCATATTTGTAATTGAACATCTTTTGTATAATTTATTAATCCGTTTTCATGAGGATACGAACTTTACCTTCATTCATGCTAACACTTAGTGTGACTAAATTGGTTCATCTTTCATCATATTTTGTTAATTTATTTTGTTGGATCCGACAACCAACAAAATTCCATAAAATCATTATCCAAATCCAATTCCAAAAATTCGATAATTTCATATCGAATAGCTAGATGACCGGATGGGATATTCGGATTCAAAAATTGATGACCAATCTCTTTCTTCATGGATGCCGACAATGAATCCTCCTTCCCTCTGTCAACTCTTATACACATGATTACCATTAAGTTTTCCTGATCTAATGATCTATTATTGCGCAACTAAATTCTTCAACTACTTTCTTTTAGAAATTAATTGCATACATTGACAACTCTATAACTTCAACCCTACCATTGATGTTGATGTTAAACCGTCTCCTAAACTTGTTTTCTTGCATGGGAAGAAAACGATCAACATGTTTTTACTTTTCTTGGTTCAAAGCAGCTAAAACCCTTGGCCTTAAGACTGCATGTGAGTGTGTGTGATGTCTAGTATATTCATGAATGAAAAACAAAGAAATAATTTGAGTCGATTTCTTCTAGAAAGGACAAAAGCAGCATATCTATATAAGAATTACTGATACTCAAGAATCTACAGCAGTTAAGGATCAAGGTTGAGCACCGAAGGGAGACCTTTGCTTTCCTTGCTGGAACTCTTCTTCCTCTTTTTCTCAGATTGAGGCTCTTTTGCTTTTAGATTGTATGAAAAAGACCTCAATAGATCTGCCAAATGCGTGTTTCTATGTGCTGAAAACAAAAACTAAACTAACATTAAATGCATAGTTTTATTAAAAGAAACAAAAAAATAAAATAACTTAAGGCTTTAGAGAGTTTCATAGACATACCAGAAATGATGACATCGTTCATATTCACAGACTTTCGGCCAGCATGATGTGCAAACATCTCAAGATCCTCTGCCAACTGTTCTGCAGTTACAGAACACAGCACTGTTTCATCACCCACAAACAATTGATACTAAAAAAGCTATGATAGTCATGATGTGATAAAAGATGAAGATGCAGACTTATTAATACATGTCTAAAACAGGTACAATATCAGTAATTTGAACACAGAGGTTCTCTTTAAAAGTCATGGAATTGTATTTTTTGCAATAGATTTGAGATATTGGTTATAATGAAGAAAGGGAGTTACAACAGGACCTATTTGGAGTCCATGTTTGCAGAGGTTTAATGTGAACATCGTTTCTTTTTCAAAAACGAACAATAGATTTCACGTCAATTTTTGAGTTTGATTCACGTAATTGTATCTACATTCAGATTTCAGAAACGCAAAAGATGCAAAAATCAACATCATCAGAAGCCCAAAAATTAGTTGTCAATAACACTGTCAACTTTCCTACGGTTACAGTTAACTAATCTGAACCAGAGTGAACGAATATGCGTGATAGAGAATAAGAAGAAAAAGGAGAGGAAGCAGTACCCGCATACTTGAACGCTAAATCGGAGATGCAAACGATAACAGGTTGAGAAATCTCCATGTTATCTTGTTTGGCTGTTACGAACAAAAATATGAATCTGAAGTAATTCCAATCGAGCAAGAGAATTACTGCAATGTACAACTTACCTTCGGATTCTGCAATGGAGATGGTGGAAAGACGGAATCGATCTCTGAGATGACTATTGGTTTCCTCAACGTCCTCTTTCTCCTCATCGCTTCCGTTGTAACCTCCTTCCATAGTTATTGGATCCATTTGATTTTACTTGTATGATTATGTGATTTTTCTAGGGTTTTCAGATTTTGGACATACGCAGGGTGAATGAATGCCGATTTCCCGCCAAAATGTGGATGACGATATTCTAAGACACTCTGCCCATTTATTTACGGAAAAAAAAATTATCTCGATCAACCTAAATGTATAAGACTATAATACAATAAAAAAAAATATTTAATATAAAAAATTTACTCTAATAAACGAGGAGGAGGTATCATATCACATTCTCATTTAATTTGAAAAATATTATTTTTATGATTATTTTAAGTTAATTTGTTTTCCCACATGTTCTATTTTAATAAATTTTATATGATATTTTAATATAATAATTAAAATAAATATAGCAATAAATGAATATTAATTTTATTAATGGATTTATTTTTTTATTTCAAAATTCTTAAATTAAATTTCATTAATTTATTTATTTAAATTTTAAGGATACAAAAAATCAATTTTAATAATTCATTATTTTTTTTATTTTTTTATAAATCCAAAGTTCTTAAATATTTAGACATTTATATTAATTTTTTTTAATTAATCCATATAATACATGGGTCTTACATCTAATATATGTTAAAACATATCAATATTATATTTTATTCGTAAAGAATAAACTACTATGAATTTTAATATATATGTTATAGTTTTTTGATCAATATATTATCTAATAAATATTAGTAAAAAAATCATATGGTATCGATTTGCTTCGTGATACCCCATAAGCCCTAATTATTATTTTTTTTTTTTTGTTTTACTTGTAGTTTTTTACTTCCAATCGGATTATATCGAGGCGGTGGCCCTCGTTGTCTTCATTGTGTATCGACTGTAAGAGTGGGGTCTCTTGTTTTTTTTATGCAATGGTAGGTTGGTCGAGGAGTTAGAGACGAAGTGTGTGATAGTGCATTATTTCCGGACCGAGAGTCAGGACTAATTCAGAACAATTGGGGTATCCGACAATATATCGATATGAGGCTTCGAGATGACTAGAGGCAGTTACGTTGGAAGGATTATGAGATTCTTGTATGAGTTACGAGATATTTGGAATTGCTTGGTTCCATTGGGAAGATCATTGAAGTGATTATGCGGTACGTTCCAAGAGTCAAGTGTGATATACCTGGTGAAACAGCCTATGGAGTAGATTCTTGGTATGCCAATTGGTGATGGTTCGAACCATGAATAGGGGAGAACTGAGTATTCTATTGAGAGGATCAGAGGTTTGTTCAACTGCAGCTAGAGAACAAGGTATGGAGACCTGCGGTACTGATGCATGAGACCAGGATTATTGGTGGTAGAGGCGACGTGGAAAGCAAGGTAATGCATGATGTACATGTTCAGGAAAGGATGAGTGTCTCCACGGAGAGCGACCACAGGTCAGGAACATTATGATGGTTAGGGACTCTTCGAGGTTATGATGGAAATTTCGAGGTGGTTGGCTCGTAAGGGTAGTTTCGACGGTTGAGAATTTCTAGTTAGAGGTATGGGTTGTTATATGCATTTTGGGAATGGCAGAAGTTGATCGGGCAACCAACTTCAGATTCGGTATAAGTATTCTTGCATGGGTTTCGAGCAATAAGAGGATGGAGTTTCGGATTGTCGTCAACGTGTTCTAAGTCATTGATGATGCCTTCGTGTTTCAAATTGAGAGATGGAATATTCCGAAGTTACAAGTTGTGTGAGAGGAAGATCAATTGTGAGATTCTAAGAGGGTACTTCGCGGTATCTGAGTATGATGTCATGAGTATGAGATCAGTGGTTGAGACAAGACATCGTGAGGTTCTATGATGGTGTACCGAGGTATCCGAGTATGATGTACTAAATTTCGGATTAGTTTGAGTCTTGAGTTAAAAGATGGAAAGTGGTTTATCAAGTATATAGGGTTCCAGTGGGAGCTCTTCGGCTAAATGACATTAAGTAAGATTATCTAAGAATAGGAATTGCAGTGAGACAAAGAGTTTTGTCATGGCGGTTGTCGTCAGGAGTAGTGATGTTTATTTTGGATGGGTGTGTTGTATTAGATGTCTAAGTCCATAACTATTATTGGTATGTACTCGACCCGAAAGTAGCATGGTCCATTCGGGTTGCGTGGCATCGGAACAATTAGATAGACTAAATGAGAAAAATGATACTTACGATTTATATTAATATATTATAAGCTCTAATATATTAATATGATATCATATTATTTAATTAGTATTGATCAATAATTAATTTAGAATTAATTTAGTGATCAAAAAGGAACTAATTAAATATGGACTCTTATACATATAGGATGGGCCAAGTTCATTTAGGTTGAGCTAAGCTTGCATGGATAGTTCATGGAGTTTTTAACTCATGGATCACATGGAAATGAAAGGTCATGGGTATTAGGGTTTACATGAATGTAACCCTAATCCTCCACACTATATAAAGAGGTCCTTGGTTCATGAAATTGGCACTAGTGCATAGAAAAGAGGGCAAGGCCAATTTTATAAGAGGGAACCTAAGTATACTTATTCTCTAGTTATTCCAAGTGTTTTTGGTGTTGTGTGATTCCATTTGAGGTACAACACCTGGGGCACTAAGCTCTTAAAGGTTCAAGACTTCAAGTTCTATCAAAAGGTATGTCATTCTACTAGATTCTTGTATTGTATATACTTCATATTATGCTAGTTAGGATGAAACCTCGGAATATAGAATATTTGCATGTATAATAGAGAAAACATAGATCCAATGTTTATAGGGTTGCATATACACCATGGGAGTGTTAGAACGCTCAAAACCCTTCAGTGGTATCAGAGCCTAGGCTTGTTTTCATTTAGACTTGATGCAAATTGTTGAAAATCGAAGTTTATATGTTGTTTGGTCAGCTGACTCGCCGAGTCCATGCCTAAGTTCATCCAACCCGTCGAGTTGGTTCATGCACTCGACGAGTTGGACCCCCTAACAGCATATCTTCGAGTTTTAAGGCTGAAATTGGTCTAGAATCATTACCTTAAACTGTTTTTGGACTTATAAAACCTATTTTTGATGTGGTAATGATTATGGTAAACCAATTTCAAGGTTGTTATAAAAATTTCAAGTTTTATGTGTATTTATGTAATTCTTGAAATTGTTGATATGATTGTTCATATACTTATGAGTTTTGGTAGATCATAGGAATTAAATGCAAATTGTTTATTAGTTAATTCTTGATCTAAATGTTTTTAATGGAGTCGATAATTTGTCCTCAAGTTATGGATTACTAAAAGTCATTTCTTTTAAAGAACCATTAAAATGCATAGGTTACACAATTGAAGAGTCTTTTTGTTTTATGAACTCCATAACTTGTCCTCAAGTTATGGATATTCAAGAGTCTCTTCATTAAAGTTTTTAAAACCTTAATTAAACTTATAAGTTATTAAAATCCAAATGTTTTTGAAGTGTTCAAAACTTGCCCTCAAGTTTTGGTATTTGTAAAATTTCCCCTCATGAATACTTTAATTCCAAGTTAAACCCTTAGAATTTTAAAAGTTAAAATTCAACCCTTATACTATTATAATATTATAAGTTATATATATATATATATATATATATATATATATGTATATATAAGAGCAAGTCAGTTTTACCGTTAGTAGGCCTCATTCATGAAGCAGATCTATAAGGGGGTATAAGGTTACTGCCTATAAAATGAAAGTTTAACAGGTGTCCACTCTCACCCACCGCTTTCTTGACTGGTGGAGGGTCGTTAGCCGAACGGGTAGGATAAGGAATATAATTCTCCCTTCATGATAAGTATAATGATAAATATAAAGTAACTAAACCTTTTATAAATTCCCAATCTTAGTTAGTTTAGGAAAATGTGAATTTGGTGCTAACCCATGAAATTGCACTTTGCACTTTGCTTAAGTCGTAAGTGGAGCGTGTGTGGTTAACCGGCGCACTAACTTGGATTTAACAAGCTAGGAAAAGGGTAACTTAATGTTTATCATAGAATCGGTGGAGCGCGTGTGGTTAACCGACACATTGATTAAGTGATTAATATTAAGGGTACCAAGTATATTTGCATGGTTATTCACACATTGTTTGTGATCCTCGACATCCTAGTCACAAACTTGAAAGGGAACAATCAAGATTGAAACATGCCATTGAAAAGTTCAATGAATCTTAAAATATCTAGGAGTTTCAAACCAATTAAAACCTAATCTCTATTTTGTTTTTATTGGTGGAAATTGGTGAATCGTCATTCGCCTACCTTCAAATATTTTATAGCTTGGATTACAACATCCCTCTTCTAAGTTATAAAATATTGTGTTGGGTCCTAGCCTTAATATTTCATATTGGGTGTTCTATTAAGGACTTAAATCAACAAACTTAAATTTCTCCCATTGTAGATTTCGAGTTCATACAACTATGATATTCCCAAATCTCTTGGAACAAGCTTTCCTAATGAAGATGCTATCATGTGATTGGTTCATGGAAATCATGCTTCTATTCCTCCACCTCCTCCAATTATTCTCCCTGACCCACAAGCTCGAAGATTTGAAAAGTTCAAGCTCACTTAAGCCTTGCTTGCAATGAAACGGAAAGATGGAAGACTTGTGTGCACTCATGTATTAGGAATGAAGTCACACATTGACATGTTGAGAATGTTAGGTGTCGTTGTTCCAAGGAATTTGGCTATTGACTGGGTTCTTCAGTCACTTCGTGAGTCATATAGTGAGTTTATTAAACACTACTATGTGATAGATCACGACATGACCCTAATAGATCTTTCTTATTTGCTTGTGGCTGTTGAATCAACAATGATTTGGCGCAATGGTCAAGCAAATATTGGTGGAAGGTCTATTTCTCAAACTTCCATGGACAATGATAATGGTAACATTAGAAGTCCATAAAAGTTTTCTCTTACCAATGGAAAAGGGATCGGCCTTGGTCAACCCGGTTGACCAAAAGGTAAAGAGAAATGCTAAGTCTGTATGTCTTTACTGTCGAGAGAAGGGACATTGGAAGTGAAGCTGCCCTAACTACATGAAGGATCTGAGAGAAGGAAGAATTAAAATTTTTGACTCTGCTTCAGGTAAGTCCACTATTTAACTCTGTTAAGTTCCTAATTTTTTATTCGTAATACATGATGTGACTCGGTTACATTTTGATGTTTGGCAGGATCAAACAAAGGGAA